GTAAATAATCACCATGTCTTTCAATCATACCTCATGTCTAGTGAAGTTGCAATGAGAATGGAAAGATAGGAGTGAATTTTAAAAAGAGAACGTTGAATGGGAGACTCTGATGCAGTAACTTTGGGAGTAATTATGTAGAATGAATGGTAGAGTGGTCTTTAGCACATGCTTTAAGGAGCCCCAGAAAACACTTCGATGGTACAAATACAGAGAGAAGACCCAGAGAGGTTTTGTTAGGAACACGGTTTAAGAGCACTGGGAAATTCCTCTTACAATTTTTCTCCAGGAAGTTGGTATGACAGCTGTATATATCAATGCCATGTCCCTAAACCTAACAAAATTTCTTGTCTACTCTCATAAAATCACAATCTGAAAGGCCATTCCAGTATTGTCAGTTTCCTCTGCCTACTAAATACTAACCTAAGCAAATTTTTAAAGGTTAAATTGGAGATGATACCTGTAGAAAAATTATATATTGTCCATAGATAATGTTTCAAAAAATTATACCAGTTTAAATATTTCTTTGAAAATTTGTTTATTTCTCCCAGAATGAAGGTTAGCATAACAAAACTTTTTTAATTTTCAGACGCTCAACTTTCAAATTGTAGACTAAATGTATATTAAAATAGAGAGCCTCTTGTTCCACAATCCAAATAGACACTGTTTAACAGTCTTTGTATTTCCTTCTGGTGCAAACATTATTATAAGAGCAATCTCATCCTGATGTTATTATTCTTTCCACTGTTGACTATTTCTTGGACATTATATTGTTAAGTGCACAGATACTTAAGCTACATCCTTTCAAGTCAAAGAATAGTCATTTGACTATTATCCTTTTTGATGGACATGCTTTTAAACTATGTACAACAGATATGCCATATATGTTTTCACACTGTCAAATGGTTTTATCCAATTGTACACTATTATAAAAGAGGTAAAGTTTTTAATATCCTTGTTAAAAGAAGCTAGTTAATGAGAAATTACAGAGGTGAATGTACTTCCTGGAAAATGCAAATTTCTCTTTCAAGATCCTATATAATATTTGCTAAATTGATAGCATTCATATATATACATATATGCATACTTTTTATTTTATACTGTCAATCACAGATACTTTGACTCATGAGAAAGTAAAAAAATTTAGACAATCATTTGTTCTTCATGAAAATAAGAAAACAGAAATGTTCAACAATATACACATAAATACAACATATGTGATTTTAAATCCTTTGTTACTACAGTTATTGTAATCTTAATTTTTTGCTTCACCTTAGGTCAGATTTTTGTCTATGGTTATTAGCATTATAGTGAAAAATGTCTGAGAAACATTATTAAAACTTCATGATTGTTTTTCACTACTTTATGATGAATTTGAACTGGTGAAACCAATCAAAAACTATTAGAACTACTAGTGGAACATTCTAACCCAGACATAAGGATGAGTCTGGATTAGAAGTTTCAGCTGGGTTGGCACATTTTTTTTGTCCATCAATGTATCCCTTGTTTTAAGACAGTGTGTCTAAGTTACTGCATGTTTTATTATATCAAATTATACCTCAATGTAAATAGCTACTGGTGTAAAAGCTACTTGTGTCTTTTATTATCAGTATCATTTAATCTATTTTTGAGCCCAACAAATTTATTTACCAAATTATTCACTCAATTGCCATTGATCCCATCATATACGTCAAGCTTTTTCTAGACACAGGCATGAATCAAATATACCCAGATCTCTGCCCTAATGTTCTCCTTTTCATATTTTGTACTTATTTCTTTATGTCTGATAATGAGCTCAAGGAAACAACATATTGCATTACAGTATTGTGCAAACTTGTAATAATAAAACTATTATTGTAACATTGTATATTTAAATGTCTTAGTGGCCTATACTTATACCTATATGATAGTTATATATTCCTTCAAAAAATAACATACTGATAAGTAAAGACTTTGTTGCAAAGTAGATTAAAGTTTAAAATACATTTTGTTAAAGGAAAGACCACTATAATACATAATGACAGTATTTGAGTTTCTTGCAGTATTAAGCCTTCTGCAATGACTAACAGGATACAGATCAATGTATATCAATGTATATTTTAGTACTAAAGACAGACAATTAGGTAGTAAGTAGATTAGATTAAAATGTGTGCACTGAATGGTGGTAGATGCTACAAAGTAAAGTAGAAGTGGGTATGGAGAAGGAGTGCTGGGTCAGGTCGGTAATTTAAAGAAATGTGTTCATCAAGGTTCTCGATATGAAGACAGTATTTCAGCAGAGACCCAAGTGAGATGAGGGGCTGGTACCCGGGGACTTTGCAGTGATGAAACATAAAATGTTTGGGAGAAATTTCAATTAACTTCAAATTTTGGTGTAAAATATGTCACCAAAGATAGATGTTATTGATCCATCCTTTTGGACATCTATTTAAAACATATGCAAATTATCCAGATTTTAAATTGGTTTCAATAGAGAGGGTTGATGCATTAAAGCTAAAGTCTAATAATGACTCTGAAAAAGTTATGTGGGAGAGAAATGATCATGGCATGTAGGAATAGATTTCAGCTGTTTGTAAAATGGAGCATTACAACCTGCATCACAGCACAGTGAGGGAGCGTGTTCTGTGGACATTTGTGGAGAGAGTATTCCAGAGAGCAGAAACAGTACTGCATCGAAAGCAAGAAGTCACTCATAAAACTTAGAATACTGGAACTGTGTTTGCCTTTGTCCACGATGCATTTTCCACTCAGAATCCTCCACTGATTCTACGTGTCCAAGTCCTACCTGCTTTTCCTGGTCTAGCCATTGAGCCACCCTCTCCATGAAACTTTTACTGATTCTTCCAAATTAAGAGAAACCTCATCTCCCTTGGGACTTCTCCCCGACTTTGCTTATTGAAATGCCCTATCTGTTTTGTACATCCTTAATATCCTCCAACGGCCTGTAGGTAAATTTGTGGCTCCTTCTTCTCTCCTAAATATCTAAGTCTCCTGTTAAGCACAAAGCAGAATAATTATGTCATGATGATAATCTGAATAATAGGCTCTCTGGGACCAAATCTCTACTACATTGAACTCAGGAATGATAAAAAAGCATCATAAATTCTGACATTAATATGAGTCATAGGTCTCAAAGGGCAATATTCCCGCTGAGTATAACTTATACTGTGTTGGAAAAAAGTCCTTAACACACAGTCTTTATTTATTGGTGGATTATTAAAACAAGCTGAGCTCATTTTTGAAAGCATTTACTCTCAGTCTTTTCTTCAACTCTGTTCATGACTCCCCTGATTTGAGAAGCCCTCTCTTCTACCAATAATGTGTCTGTCTGTCTGTCTTTTCCAATTCCCTGATTGAGAGGAAAAATTCCAATACCAACATAGTTGTCAGATTTAAAATTGCCTGGCCTTCAGTAACCATTTCAATTTAAACTGGTGAAACATTTAAAATATTTAAATCTGTAAAATCCAGGCCCCTTTCAAAATAATTCAAGGACTCAATGAGTAGGTTAAGTAGATTTGGTTGGGTAAGGAGTCCATATTTTCAAGCCCTTTGGAAAGGAATCAACTATTTCCTTTGGATTAGTTGGGAATTGGGCACACCAAAGGTATTAAAAGGGAGGTTGGTCCATATTATATCCCCTTATCTGGAAGTGTTAGTGCTTTACTGGAGGAGAATAATGTCTGTCTTTCCTTTACATACTGAAGTGTTTTCTTGATAGCCATTGAGAGCCGATGGTCTCATTAAAGCTATGGGTTTGGCCTTTCATTTTTCAGGTCCATCTGACTGGCACCAGAGATAATCTAAATTCTATCTGTACCTTGCTCAGTGGTAGACCTTCTCTCCTTACATGTTAACTTGAACTTCCTATAGACAGCTCACACCAGAATGACATTTTTTATTTTTTTCTCAGTTCTTTTTCAAATATTTTTTTATTTTAAAAAGAACAGCAAAAAACAAACACAGACAAAAACAAAACAACTAAAAACAATAAAAAGGATACAGAATTTCACAACAAGGTGATAGAAAACTAACATAGTTATTATATTACATATTGTTATCTTCAAAGTAATTGCTCAGATCACCAGACATAAGCATGCAAGATTGATCAAACAATGAAGCATTAACTGTTCCTTTCAACAGCCAATAGAAACCGGTAGTACAGTTGCCCCAGCTACTGTATCATATTTCCCTGCTTCTTTTCTCCTTTCCCCTATCCCAGCAGTTCTTTCCTTTAAATAAAAAAAGATAAACATAACAATGAAACCAAGTTTCAAAATAGGCTTTTAGGGCAGCTATAATAGTTCATACACTGTGTATTGTTGTTCAATTTTATTTTTCCTAAAACATTTTTTGTGATGTTGTCCTCTTCATATTTTGTGCTTATTTGTAGGTCTGATAATGAGCTCAAGGAAACAACATGTTTCATTACAGTATTGTGCAACCTTGTAATAATAAAACTATTGTTGTAAGATTGCATATTTTAATGTCTTAGTGGCCTATACTTATACCTATATGATAGTTATATATTTCTCTAAAATACAGCATAATGATAAGTAAACAGTTTGTTGCAAAGTAGGTTAATGTTTAAAATACCTTTTGTTAAAGGAAAGACCAGTATAACACCTAATGGCAGTATTTGAGTTGCCTGCAGAATTAAGCCTTCTGCACTGACTAACAGGGTACAGATCAATGTATATCGCCAGCATATTTGGCTTTCAGTCTTGAGGCTTTTATTTCCTGGCTAGGGTATTTACTCAGGGCGGCAAAATGGCATGCATGGTCTAGGCATTGGCTGGGCTTAGTCCAAGATAGAAGATGTCACAGAAATAAGACACTGAAGAGACTTGAAGCGGATTTCTCTTGGGCGTGCTGTGGTGTGTGTACCTTGGGTCTGTCATCACCATGCTTACCACACCTTGCTCAGGTGTGAGATGAGAGAGTGGGGTGAGGGCTATAAAACCTCCAGCTTGAGACTCCCTGGTGGACCTAATTCTCCAGGATGACTTGTGTCTGCTTCTAGGTCCCAAATCACTACCATGAAGTTGATCTTTCTCCACTTGGCTGTGGCGCTTTGCGCCTTCTACAAAGGTAAGGAAGAGTTTAGTCTTTTCAATATGGTGGGACCATAGACGTTTGCATCAATATTTACTGTTATCTATCTTCAAACATTTTTCTCATGGGAGATTTTTGTTACTCCTCAGAGCAGGATGCTATGTAAGATAACTGTACTTTCATTTACTGAGTAGTCCGCTTTAACAAGCCCGTCTTAAAGGGGTATGTGTGTGGAAACACAGCCAGTGTTATCATTACCCATTCTCATTGCTGTGAATGCTTTCATGACCCGATTGTGAACACACACCCATGTTAAGACTAAACCTCTCCACTGATAATCACGATTGTCACAAATCATGAAAGTATCACTAATTAAAAGTTTGGTCTATCATCAAAACAACATTTCATTGGGAAAGAATTTTGTCATCTAACACATTTCCTGGACATTTCAGAAAGTCAATTAATTTGTGAAAGTAACTGAAAGTCAAGATTCAATTCTCATAAAATTAAAAATTGGGCAAAACGAAAAAGGCTTTAGAAACAAAAGTATTTCTGTCTTTTAGTTCCACTTCTAAAAAATCGTTAAAAAATAGCATTTTCTAAACATGGCGGAAAAGTCTGAAAAAGGAAGATGTGTTCTGTACCTTAATGTCATCTGTTTCTTAAATTTGGGGATAGAGCATAAGACATATGTTTTACTTTTCTATGTGAAGGCAAGATATGGACATCTACAATTATTTGCTATGATTCAGAGAAAACATTTCTATTCTTAATCTAACTGCCTAGGAGATTGTCTAATGGACCATTAGGAAATGATTGCTCCTACTAATGGTGAATTTCACAATCACATACAATGCTTTGTATTTTTTGCATATAAATTTGCTTGTAAGTTTGCAGTCATATTTTTTACTTATACGTTGCATAAAATAGAAATATTTTTTGTTTCTGCTTTTAATAAATGTGTCTGTTAAGATAGCACAAACGTGATTTTGAAAGCACTTATTTGTTTTTGTTTTTGGAATACTGGGCATTAAATCCAGAACCTTTGTACTGAACTACACTTCCATCCCCTTTTTAAACAAACTTTTTTCTTTTGAGACAGTTCCTTGCTAACTTACCCAGGCTGGGCTTGAACTTTCAGTCCTCCGCCTTTAGCCCTTCAGTGTGCTATGGTTACAGGCATGCACTGCTGTGCCAAGCTGAAAGCGTTTATTAGATGGTGTCATATCACAACAAAATATACTTCTAAAGTATTTATTAAAGTGTATTAAACTTACCATAGAATTGGCTAGTATTTCTAAAGAAAAATCCCAGATACAGGTTTCCACTGATTGCTGATTTATCAACAAAACTGAAAGACTTTGTGTGTTTATTCATGAGGTGGAAGTGGAAATTAAGGGCATAACCTAGACAACTGCTCTTGGCAGAAACCCAGATTCCCTAAGAGGAAACACTTGCTGTTGGCCAATGAGCCGATGTTTCCAGCACAGCTCCTTTCATTCTTGGGGCCTGAAGGTTGCTGAGGTAGATACCTAGGCAGCACATTTAGCATCAGGCAGAAGGAACATTTGTACTTTTTAACCAACTGTAACTGTTTAGAAAAGAGCAAAAAGGACTAACACCCAGTTTTCTAAGTGGAAAAACTTCAGTTTTATAGATATAAAATCAATTTTTATTTTTTCCCCTCAATATTCTCACTAAAGTAACATCTACAAAATTTTCTTTTTTATGATTACATTACAGAGAAAATGTTTAGGAGAAAAGAAAATTGGGTAATAGATCACAAAATATATTTCAGATCAGTGGCTGTAATTATGTAAAATACATATAAAGCATTGACTAATATTAATTTTGCGGTTTAATTTATTCAACCATGTATATTTCCAAGACTGAATTGACACTGAAAATTGTGATTTTAATTATATTGGTGTAGGTGAATGTAGTATCTAGATCATAGAGATTATTAATTTATAAATTAATATAAAATATCACTATTATGAGATATAAAAGTTGATTGATTATATTGAATTTTAAAGAATATAAAATATGATATAGAAAAGCATAAAATAACCCATTGCTGTTCTTTTAAAATTATTTTTATAGATGGTGATGCCATATTTCTCAATCAATTATCAGGTCAGTATCTTTTAGACATTTATCTTTAGTGTATTCTGAGCCTACTTTTGGAGCCAGAGAAATAATGTGTTTCATATGCAGTTGTTTTGTGATTGAACTATCCTGTGTGCTCATTTATCTGTCATTTGCAAACTCTTAAAGATAAAGTTTTAATCTGTGTGTTCCTTATGTATTCTTAATGCCAAGAATAGTGACTTCCACAGAGCAGGCATTCAGAATATGTGTGTGTGTGCGTGTGTGTGTGTGTTTGCTTTAATTTTTATTAGTACATTTTTGCAGCACACAATGACCACACTCACTGTGGGAGTTGGTACACGGACAGAACACATCCTAATTCTTTTTCTTCCACTTTCCATCCCCTTCTCCTTACTCTCTCTCTCTCTCAGCCCCTTTCCCATTTGTAAAAGATATATTTCCCTGTTTCCTATTATATATCTTTTATTTTGCTCTTTAAATTACTTATACTTTAAATTTAAAAAGTAATTTGGGATCATATGTATTTGTTTTGTGTACAATAATCTGTTAACCAATTGCTTTACAAAGTAAACTTTCTGAACTCATATATACCCTATTTTTTTAATCCAAGAAGTGAGGGGGCTTTTGAATATAGCTTAATCTCTTTTTGAAAAACTAACATGAATGCTAATTAATATATTATATATCACAATGTATTATATATCAAATCATGCCTTTGGCATCTAGAGGGTTGAACAGTGCAGTATGTGCCTTGTCTAGACATGACTTCTGAGTTTGTGTCTGCTTTGTAGTTACCTTTTGTTGGTTGACTTAACTTGAACATCTATCTGTGCATTGGTGTGGGCTCGTTATGTTTGTTTTTACTTCCCAGTTCCAATTTTTACTATTAGTCTCCTACAGTGGAAGCAGTAATGACTCAAACTTCTTAGCCAAATACCTGTGGTCAGAATGTACATTCTGAGTGAGTGTCCCACAAAATTTTACCTGATTAGGAAAGCTAGCATACAAGAATTTATACCTTGGTTTTATAACATCTCTCTCTGCCTCAAAAGGATCTGGAGATGACTTCCTGATTGCAAGCTACATGTCAGATAAAATTGTTTAACAAACATAGGTAATGTTACGATGTACTTGTTTTTCTAGAAACATTTACGTTAAGTATCTCCAAACTGTTTCCACAAACCATTTCTTCTTAGCCTTTGGCTAAATCAACTGGTGTGTTTTTCTATGTGCAAATTCACACGATTTAGTTTTCACTACAATGAGCCAGAACACGTATGTGTTCCTTAGCTGTGGTTGTCGTTTGTGTTAATTTATGCTTGTCTAACTGGGCTAGGTTTGCTGACTGTAAGTCCTGGACTGTCCAAGGCTGTTCTAATTTTCAGAAGCTTAACTTACTATTGCACAGGGGCTGGGGATTTAGCTCAATGGCACAGCGCCTGCCTGGCAAGCGTGAGGTTGTGAGTTGGGTTCCTGGTACCAAAAACAAACAAACAGACAAACAAAACAAAAAACCTTACTATTGCACCATGTGCGTTTTTTATTTAAATAATGTGATCACTTTGCATTTAAATGATTTGAGACTATTGTAGTGCATAGAGAAGCATTCAAACAATCTCAAACTAAAAACATTACCTAAACTGTTTTTGAATATATAAATGTTCTTAAATATATAATCAATATGCAGCATGCGAAATTCTACTGCCATTGTTCAGTTTTTCATTTCACATAGTTGTTGAGAAAGTTCTTTTGGAGATCAGTATTTTGATGTATCTCATAAAAATACTTGCATCTTGCAATCTAATTTAAGTGTGCTAATATGCCTTTTATTGTACTTATTTCTGTAAGTTTTAAACTCAGCTATACTTACAAAAGCTTGACAAGCTTAGGAATTTACCTACCACTTTTTTAAATATGGAGGTAATCTACTTGAATGACAATAATACTTGTTTATAAGTTGTATATATGTGAATTTTGGTATTCAGCCATAAAATAGAAATTATGGTCATTTCAAACAGATTAAGTAAATTCAACGTCTCAAATGAAAATATCTTTTAACTAAATCTTCACTTCATAAAATAATAATTACTGCTTTGAAACTTCTTTCCAGTAATCCAAAAAGTACTGTGATGTGTTTTGCTTCATTCTAATTTGTGCATCTGGACCATGTTTCAGATTGGCTGGGGGACTGGTCAAGCCTTTCTCTTTTGTCTGTCTTTCCCGAGAGGTGGAATACACCACGGGCAGTGGCTGTTTAGTCTGTTCTTGCCTGAGTACTGAATTCAGTGATATCTCTGAGACTGTATCTCTAAGAACAAGAAATGGCTCTACTCAGCTGGCAAATCTAAACTTTAGAGACACTACTAATGACAATATTTCTTGCTTCCTTTCCTCAGATGAACAAATAATGGAAAGCAGATCAGGTAAAGTATTTTACTTTATTTTCTTATGTTGTTTATACTGAAAAGCAATGAAGTGGCAGGGCTTTTCCTTGGAAAGACTTCTCTTCTGTCAAAATACTTAAAAATTTTAAAACTCAATGTCTTTTATCATTACAAAAAACATACTGTAAAATGTATTTTTTAACCTGGGCAGACATTTTAACACTTAATCAGTATTTATAAAACCGATAAAGTTGAAAATAGAAAATCTACCAGGTTATTTACTTTCCAAAATTTCTTAAACCAAGATAAAAATGTCTGTATATGTAGGTTTAAGGTTTCACTTTCTTATTGTTTTCTCTGCAGAATATGCTTCGTTGTGTGTTTTCCAAGATCAACTCATAGATCCATTTTAATTAAAATCCGTGCTACTTCTAATAGCTTTACCAAATGCCCTTAGGTGATTCAATAACAGTATCACCCATTTGGTTATTATTGTTGTTTCCCTACTGATCAAAATGAAAAATAATCCATAGTAGATCAACAAGAGTGCTTTTATGAAAATTTTTAAAAGTTGAACAGTAAGATTTTTGCTGTTATCATTATAGATTCAATTTCATTCTGAGCTAATGTATACAGAAATCAAAACATCCCAACATTACTTTTGATATGTTTTTCTTATAAAGATTTTTTCAGCTTCCCCATTCCTTCCTACAACCAGATGCAAAAATTATAATTGGAAAATATTTTATTTGAGGTAGAACATAAGCTGAGACTAAGCAAGAGGGCAGTGATCTCGTAAAGACAGCAAAATAATAACTGCGGACAGGATTCTGTAAGTCACAACAATGACAGAGCAAGAGTTTCTCTTCTATGTACACAGAACTCTGGTCATTACCTTGAATAATATGAGTGTATGTCTTCAATTTTCTAAGTTATAATGAGACAAGGAAACACTTGGAATTCTATAGTTCTCTTAAATCCCTCTAAAATTCTGAGGAATAGAATTTATCCCTAAATCTCAGAGAACCTTGCAGTTCTGTGTGTTATTCAGGGGAAACTGGAGGGTCTCGAAGACTAGAAGTGCACCGAATTAAATGCCATTCAAGGAAACTCTAACCAACAGCAAACTAGGTAAATTCTCTTCTCCAAAAGTGATAAGATTGAGCCTCGCTTTTTTTAGTTTTTTGAGACAAGCTCACTCTGTGTAGGCCAGGCTGGGCTTGAACTTACTGTGTAGTCCAGGCTGGCCTCATACTCACTGCAATCCTCCTGCTTCAGCCTCCTGAGTGCTAGGATTCCAGGCATAAGTCACCACACCTGGCTTGAGACTCATATATTTAAGAAAATGATCCTCCGGCCATGCGGAGGGCCACCTGGGCAACTCTCCTTGAAGGAGGAGTAATTGTCTCCATTTTGACTGAACCTGACCCTATTTCCATGTATTGATGTGTACAGAGCTGGCCAAGACTTTTCTTTATCGCTTCAAATGGTTTTAAGCAATGTATATCGGTCCAGCTGTAATGCTGATAGATAGTCTTTGAAGCAAAGACAGTAGGGCTAGGGTAGTGTTTCACTGGGCCCACCGTAGCTACCATGTGTGAGCCTGGGGTGAGGCAAGATGGAGCGCCATGCTCCATGCTGTCTAGGATTGAGCCTCAAGACAAGGGGCTATGACTTCCCAGGGCTTGGAAGATTACATATCAGAGCTGATGCACTAACCCCAAAACATTAGGTACTACCTCGATGTGTTATGCAGATGACTCTGCATATCCTTTTCTCTGCAAATTGCAGAGGTGATTTCAGGCCTCCTACCTAGCCCAGCTCACAGCACTCGTGTACTCCCCACCATTCTCACAGTCACTCATCCTCAAGCCAGTCCTTCCTTCACAAATTGATAAAACTAGGGTTCGGCCCTGGTTGAAGCCTTTGTTCCAGGTAGCCATCACTGTGGCTGGACTTAGGACTCCTTGGTTCCCCACAACTACAACTATGACTTAATGTCTTTATTCTCCCCATGGGTTGCACTGAAAGTGGTAGAGTGGAATGAACTCACTGGAATTCCAATAACTTTCCCATGAGATTATAGGTATAAACGTCCTGGGCTGAGCCAGACTGGGAAGGGCTCCCCATACAGCCACTATAGTATTTCATATTTTTCCTTACTTGTTGACTTCTACTAATTTCAGACAATAGAACTTATTTGTCCCCTTTATATTTAAAATCCTTCCATCCATACAGTGCACTCCTGTGCCCTCCTCCCTCGTGGCACTATTTCTCCATGGGGTTTGGAGTTGAATGGGGCATGGTTGTCTTTTTCTGGGAACAATTATGTTTACATCTCTTTCTGTTCCATTCTGTACAATTCAAAGTACAAACTAATCCTTCCAAAAATTCATGCAAAAATGCATGCAAATTATAATATGAAATTACTTGACATTAAACATATTTTATTCATGTTTAAACTGTAGATAAACATATTTTATCTTTACCTATCATTTAAGCAATCTGGTTTTAAATAGCATGAATTCAAGATACATCTTGCTTAAGAGATAGGGATTTTTTGCAGATTTTTACTAACCATGTAGTATTTGGGCAAATTACTCAAGCTATTCTAGGAATCAACTCACTTGTTTTCAAGTGAAAAATACTACTAGTACTTATTTCACAGGAGACTTGCAAACATTAAAGAGATGATGCATGTTCTGCTACATATCTTAGATGTGTATATGCTACACACTGATCATTACCACCCACCAATACATTTTTCCATTAACTCAATAGTAATGTAGTTCTAAGTCAGTCTTCTAGAACAAAGACACAGGGATAAACAGTTAATAAAAATAAATCTGGCCATTGGGTAGGCTATCAGAGCTATTCATTTCTCCAATAAAATGAAGATACTTAGAGAAAATATTAGTGTAACAAAAGTCAGTCTAATACATCCATGAAGTTAACGTATTATAAGTATAATGAACACATTGTAAGTAAAATAAATAAAATAAAAGCTGCATATGTGTGAGGAGGAAAAGCAAGTATCTTGAAAGACGCTATTTATCCTAATGGAATGCTTAATATGCTTTGGATGCTGTGTTAATATTTTCATCTCATTTATCCTACTTAATAACTATATTATAAAGTATATATTGTTGTATTCTCATTTGTTATGTAACCTCCATGTAGTAGATAGGAAATTTTGTTTTAGCAGTAATGAATTGTTTATTCCAGGACAGGTCAAAGGCACAGCCAGAAGCAAGTGTGCAAGCGTGGGTCTATGTGGCATATACATCAATAATCAAAAGAACAAAATGTTAAATAGATTTCTTCTATTTGACAAAAATGCATTCATGACAACCAGGAAGGCCAGGTTCCAGTGCAGAATGCTCAGATCCATTGGAATTCAGTGCAGGGATGGAGTTGGAAGTGCCCTAGCCTAGGTCCCTATTCCCCGGCTCTTTTTGTTTCAACATTGTCCCACAGCAGAGGAGCAACCCAGCTTGTATCTCAGCTCCATGTACTTCTCCTGCAAACAGGCCAACTTCTGCCCATTGCTCAGGCCCAGGGGTTGCCATCCTTGCAGTGAGGTTTAACCTTGGGTAGTGCATCATGGGAAAGATGCCCGAGCAGGCAAAGGACTTGGGGATGCCTGGCTCTGGGGTCTTAGTTGGTCTAGGGTGGAGCAGTGACAGTACCCTGAACCATCTTCTTATAGTATTTGACCTTGAAGGAGGATCATGACACATAGAAGGCCAGAGGGAGACCTCTGTGGCTCAAAGCAGGCATCTCTCTTGCCTGAGTCTGAGAGAGGTGCTGTCTTAGGCCATTATGCTTGCAGGTAGGGAACTCAAGTGAATTAAACTCAAAATTCCACACACTTTCCACTGCAGAATACTGTCTTGCTTCCTTCTGCTTGGTCATCAGACTAAGATATTTGAATAGTAAGGTGTGGTTCTAAAATTACATAGCAGTGAACACAAGATAAGAATATAGAAGAGAGAAAGAAGAAAAGTGTAGTAAAGGATAGAGAGAGAAAGAGGGAGACAAAAAGGAAAATACTGTGTATTGAGAATTGTGTAAGAGTGGTTTGAGGGTTACTTCATACAGTAGCGTAATAGTATAAATTGGCTATACTTGATTTCTACACTTGTATTCTTCCTGAATCAGACACACCTGTAAATAAATATAATTTCATAATATTCTGAACATTGGTTATGTCTTCTTTAAACTATATAACTATATTGTGTGCTATTCTGGTTGCTTTTACATTCACATTGTATTTCTGTCTACTATTTGCTGTAGAAAAGCATATTTTTTTCTAGAAATACTAAACATGGCTAGCCCTTTCAAGAGAAGTTGTTCTGTAAATGTAATTAAAAGTGAAATTTCCCATCACCTAGAAAACTTTTCCAGAAAATTAGGAGAGAAAGAGAACAGTTTAATTGCACAAGTGTGAAACAAGAACATGGTGTACATTATAGGTAATCTGCTAAAGAGGTCACAAAGACAGAGAGAACCCCTGTCCTTTGGTGTCATAAGCAGTCATAGTCCTCTCCATTCATGATCTTAAGATAATAACTAACTAGACCTCAGCATATGTGGCCCACCTCCATATACAGTTCATCCCAAATGTATTTGGTAGTTGGGGTAGCCACCTGTGATTGCTAAGTGCTTCTCTAAGAAATTCCTTGTGCCTTTATAAGTAGAGGTAGGTTTGCAATTAGCAGCCAGGCAACAGCTAAAGTTAGGCACCTACCTCCCAGAATCCTAGGAGGTGGGCATTCAGCTTCCTTTCTGATGAGATTTCAAAGCAATAGCCCACTGGCTCTTCAGGAAACACTGGGGAGCTTCTCTAGTCTTTCACAAGATTTATATACATTTCAGAGAGATAGAAAAGGAACTCATAACTTTTCTAAAGAAAAATATGTGCATGGGGAGGAGTCTTTTATTTAAAAAAATAGAGGCAAAATTAAGTCTTTCAATGGCTATTTGCCCTTATCTAGTCTTCAAATTTTACTTGCAAAGGAGGTTCTTTGTTTTCTTGTCAGTTTGGTGAACAAAATGCATGTCTTCCACAATATTACAGGAATATCATAGTTTTGTTTTGTTTTGTTTTTTCTCCGATACCGGGAACCGAACTCACGACCTTGCGCTTGCCAGGCAGGCGCTTTTGCCGCTGAGCTAAATCCCCAGCCCCAGGAATATCATAGTTTTAAAGATGTTATTAGGTCTATAATATTTTAATTTTATTGTAGAGATTTCAAAAAAGTATACATAGCATGAGAGAAAGCACATGTATGTCAAGTAATGCAGTATATATTGCATTAAGAAGGGCTAGTTCACGTAAAAACTGATTAGATAAATATTGAGTACCCTCTATGAATAGCGTAAAGAAAGAAATCTTGAGTCTACGATGCTTAAAATGTAGAAAAAAGATACAGCATCATGAGCATTAAACGTGGTATACTATAAGATGATAAAGTCTATGGAATAAAACAGAGTAATATTATACTAATTAGGATTATTAGGTTTGGGTGGATTGCAGTTATGAATTTTCAGAGTATGCTTCAGATGACATTAAAGCTAAGACTTGAAAGAGGTATTTATTACAATTAATTTATGAGTAAATATTTTCATCTTTTCTCAGAAATGGCAAAAGAAGATTTAGGCATGGTATTTTAATTTGGTCAGCTATAAGGTGGCAGTAGCCAAGGAAAATGTGGATTCAACATGGCAGCGCACTTCTATGGGGAAGTTGGAACACTGAGACGTGTTGGAGAGGGAAGCAGGCAGGATGTTTCTGCCCTGCTCGTGAGAAGAAGAGTTCGCAGTATACATCAATTACTAAATCTTCACAACTGTACTCTCTTTCTTGTTTTCTTATAACCATGACAAAAAGATATGGGTATGGTAATTAAGTCAACCAGTGGTACATGTTATTGCATGTGTTGCAGGATAATAGGACTTAAAATAAAATGTGCCTTTTCACAAAGTCACACTCAGAGCTTCTTTGGCCGTTCTGTGTCGGCAATACTATTTTCAAATAAAATCTTCTGTTATTTCCACTAGGTGACCATTTCTTTGCAAGTTCTTCCAATGACAATGCAGACAGAAGGAAGAGATCTTTCGGTAAGCCACACCCTACCCTTGGACTCAGAGGCCCAGCAGTAGTTAAACCAGGGTGAGAGAACCTTGGGATAATGGAAATTTACAGCTAGAAGTCACTCAGGCAGGTATGGTTAGGGAAGTAAAGGCTCGCCTGAGAAATAGTGAGTTTCTTATTTTCTGTTTGAGACAATCTGATCATCTGTTTCATTTTCAGTGCCTGGTCTAATAGTAATAATGCTGACTCTGAAGGCACTTGTTCTAGTCAGGAATTCTGTTGTTAATGAATTTTAGCAACTTATTTTTATACTGAAATAGGTCTTTTTCATAGATTTTATTTTAATTTTGTATTTTTGAGATAGGGTCTCGCTCTGCAGTTCAGGCTGGCCTTGAGCTCACTTTGTAGCACAGGCTGGTGTTGAACTCCCAACGATCCTCCTGCCTCAGCCTCCCAAGTGCTGGGGTTACAGGCATGCACCACCATGTCCAGCTTATAGTTTTTATTTTTTCAAGCTGCCGTTCTCCTTGGCACAATTATAATAGGAAAATATTTTATAAAACTTTTCCCTGTAGGAATTTAAAATGCTTCCAATGTTTTATGGCTTTGAAAATGGAAAAGGAAGGGTGGATTTGGCTGCAGAGAGGCTCCTCCAAGTCAGTTTGCTGGCCGTAGCCACACAGACTTTGGAGGAAATGGAGTCAGCGGTCCCAAAGCCTCTAGAAACATCAGGTGTACTGTCAGGTTCCCCCACTCACGTTTCTGTTCAGCCATAACTCGTGTTCTGCACCATCATTCTCTCTTTAAATTATCACTTAGTTTGCTGAACAGTACAGAAAAGTGAAGTTTCTTTAGGCGAGGTATGTCATTTCTGTCTCAGCACATTTCTCTCTATTCAGCTTATTCAGTCTTTTCCTTTGCCTACTGTTTCTCTTATGTAGTATGTAGTAGCTCTATGAAAAGTGTGTGTGGGGAGGGCCTGGAGAAGGAAACCTCCTCCTTATTTAATATTTGACTCCATGAGGTCATAACTGAGAAGGGAGAGACTACATTGGATATAGATGTCTGGTCAAAGTATCTTTAGAAAAGGCACAGTATTTTCTATCTGTCCAATGTTTTGAAATAGACAAAGTGAGGCTGACTAAAGAAGCTCAGTTTTCGTAAAGGAGGTTATTTTATAACACTGATGTGTTAATTGATTTTCCATGCTTGTAGTACACTGTGAAGCTTTACCTTACACAGTCTCGATGCTTGGCTGATCTCATGGAATCCCATCAAACCTCTTGGTAAACTGGTTGCTATGTGCTCTGTTACACTAGTGCTCTGTTACACTATGTAGAATTATATATAGAAAGATACATGGGGGTTGGAGGCAAAGAAATGCATCAATAAACATCATGTAATTGTTAATAGAATAACATTTAGGTAACTTTTGTATTATATAAATGAATACAACTATTTTTCTGATAATGATTGCATCTTTGTATGGTAGATGAACCCAGTTCAGCAGCTGGCTTTACCAGCAGTGTCTCTGGTGCTATGGAATTTGGTGGCAGTGCTTCAAGTCAGAATGAAATTGGTGGGGGTCCACCTGGCCAAAATGGATTTGATGTGAATGCAATGAATGGATTAGCTGGTTTTGGTTCTGCTGCCAGGGAAACAGGTATTCTACATTGCTTCTTAGTGTCTGCTTCTGACAGAAAAGTAAATTTATCAGCAAAATAGGGGTTGACGACAGTGTTTTTGCCTCATGCAGATTTAGTTAGAGGAATTTATGAGGAAGATTTGTAAACTATGCTTCATTCTTAGAGGGTCTGTGTTATCTTCATCAGAAATCAGCAACATGAGTACTTCAGTGAAGTAAAAATAGATTTAAGGCTTTATTGAGAGAGTTTTTACCTGGGCGAAAGAGACCCAGTTTTTATCTCTAGTTCTTTCCAGTAACCTGGTTGAGGCTTTGGGAAAGACACTTAAACTCTCTTGTTCCCAAGTTTTCTCATCTGGAACAAAAATTTTCAGCTCATATTTCTGCATGGATAGGTAAAGCTAACTTTTTGAGCTTTATTACTCATATTGAACTAATTTTTTTGTAAAAAGCCTGAAGAAAATAAATTTGCCAAAGTGTGGGTAAATAGATTTTTATATTCAGAAATTAAAGCCAGCACAGCAAATGAAGATCAAAGTACTGTTACTCTAGGTATTTCTGAGTCAAAGGCTTTACAAAAGATGTGAACATAGGTGAAATATAGAAGAACAGCAGGAGCTGTTGGTAGTAAACTCAGGAGCTGTGGTTTGGGAATTCTGAACCAGGCTCTATCAATACAAAATAAAAAGAACCTTTATTTTTTGTTTATTGCTCTTGAAAACATTTTACTTTTCCATTAGACGGGAGCGTTTTGTTTTTAATTTTTGTCACTGGCAAAAAGTAGGATGGACTGAGATTGGTTTTGGTAACTCTGGCTCACGTGAACTTGACACTGGTGGTCTTGAACAAAGACATTTTGGTGTAGATGAAACAAAGGCACTGGAAAATCATTCCAGTGATCTAGGTTTGACTGGGTTTTGTGCTTTAATAGTAAAGAATCATAGAATGCTTTCCAGTATTCCTTGGTGATGGTTTTTTTGAAAACTTTTTTTTTTTAAATTTTAGCAGATAGCACCAATATAAGATCTGGGGCAGGATCTAGTGTCAGTGGCTCCAGAGAGTTGGGATTTGGCTTGGAGGCATCTGGTCGAATGGGACTGGATATCAGTAGAGCAGACGGGAGTGAAATTAGTAGCAGTGGATTTCCTGGAGGTAAAACTACAATCTTGGCATGTGATACTCCGTTAAAAATACTTTGTATCTAATACCATTTAATAACCAATTAATAAAGGTTACTTTTTAATAGAATTTTGATTTTTCCATTATTTGAAATTGGGTCTTCTGGTTTGGATCTTGAAGCAGGGAAAGCTGGTACCGCAGTTTGGTTTTGGCATTTTTGGTTTGGGTTCCTTTGGTGATAGTGGTCTTAATAGCAAAAGAGCTGAAGGAAATCAGGTGGGTAGTTACGGAGGATACAGTTGCAAAGATCTAGGTATTGATATCTAATGTTTATGCGTAATAATTTCTGAATCAAAATGTTTTCAGTACACTGTGATAATCATTTTATGTTATGCAGGTGATGCCAGTGTGAGACTTGAAAATCACTTTGTTGGTGATAACTCTGGAAATTTGGGGCCCAATTCAAGGGCTTCCGGTGAACAAGGAACTGGACTCAATACAATTGGTTGGAATGCACTGAGTGGCAGTATATCTGCTGGGGCTGGATTGAAGGGCTTTGGATTTGATGCCAGTAGCTCAGGTATTCCACCTGGTTCCTGAGATGGCCAGCTAAGTTGCAAGTATTTATTGTTTCATGTCATAATATTTTGGTTTTTCTGGTAGTAGGAGGGCCTGGGATTTAGATTTAAAAACTAGAGCAAGGAAACCTGGAGCAAAATGTAGTCTTGGGTTGTCTATTTCAAATCAATTTGGTGACAGTGAACTTAGGGAACATGGAATAAAAGGTATTAGAGAATCTATTTCCAGATATTGGAACTATTAGATATTGATACTTCTATGCATAAAAATGTGTGATGCATAAACTTCTTGAATATGTTCTGATAATCATTCTACATTCTTCAGGAGGTACTATCAGTGCAAGGAATGCAGAGAACTCTTTTGATGATGTAGTAAAGGGCCTTGGTCTTATAAAATTGGGTCAAAAGACATTTGGAAGCAGCAAATTTGATTGGAACGAGAAAGGCAGTAGTGGATCTGATGCTGGAGACTCAGGTAGTCTAATTTTGGAGGATGTTCCAGAGAAATCTAAATTGGTTTGAAACTTTAATGAATTATTTGATTAATATCTTATTTCTCTGCCAGTGAAAAAGTCCTGGTTCCTTGATATTGGACCTGGAAAAATGAAGGCTAGAACTGAAATTGGTTTTGGAGATACTGGTTCAGATCCATATGCTGACAATGGCCTTGGTGAAAATGGAGGAAAAGGTACTAGATAGTCTGGTTTTAGTGGTATGTTTGCTGGTAGTAATTTCCATGTGTAACAATTTCTGAATCGTAAGCATTGTTAAATATTTTCTGGTGTGAGTTATCAGCACAAGAACTGAGAGTGAACGTGATGGAAATTGGAACTTTGTTGTTGGGGTCCAGTATTTGGTGTAAAGGAATTTGGAGGCAGGAGCTTGAGGCAAAGGTCAGCAGTATCTCTGCTGGGCCTGGACCCATGAGTGTCAGTTCTGATGGCCATAGCTCAGGTGTTCTGCTAACCCAGATGTTTTCAGAGACATTGAAATTGGTTATGAGCTCTCATGACTTTTTAAAGTTACATTTTAATTTTTTTTAAGAAGGAAAGATCTGGTTTTCTGGCTTTAAAAACAGAAAAGTAAAAGTAGATTTGGCTGGTTCAAGGGTAGGGATGCTAGTTCAAGTCAGTTTGGTGACAGTGGCCATGGTGGTAGAAGCCCTAGATACTCCGGTCTCTCTGGTGTGCTAGGAGCTGATGATTAATTTCTGTGCACAGAACTATTCTGGATCATGAATTAAAGGTAATTTTTTGACCATCATTTTATATTCAGCAGGTGGCTCGGGTGAAATAAATGGGACTGGATATTCTGGTGTTGTCTCTGAAGATTCAGGAGTCAATCTGGGGCCTACTGGTCAACAGGGATTTGGAGTCATTCGAAGTAGCAGGAGTGGACAGAGTGGCAGTGGATCTGCTGGGGTGGGATACTTGAGTCTGGGATCTGATAACAGTGGCTCAGGTATCTTAACTTGGACTCTAGTCCCAAGAAGTTCCAATTAATTTCTTCCCTCTTTTAATCACATTTTGATTTTCTATTAGGAGGCAACTCTTGGTCTTCTCGTTCTGGAAGTGGTGGAGGAAGGAAAGGTACTGCTGGACTTGGTGCTTCAGGACTAATCGAGTTTGATGACACTGGCCTTAGTGGTTCAGGTACCTGTGATACTGAACCTTCCTTATCTGGTTCCATGGCTTAGAAATGGAGATTTATCTCTAATGAGAAAGTCAGGATTTGAAAATACCAATGGAAATTTTCAGCATTATTAATTATAATGTAAGAAGTAATCCAGAATCCTCAGTTGTTGAGATGTATTTAAATTCGATTGGGTAAAAGCCATTTAACATTTGTCAGCAGAGAATGTGGAACCGGTTTTGTGGTTGTGGATATCCTGGTGTGGAGTTTCTTTTGTGGTCTTCATGCAAAAACGATTTGGAATTAGTTGAAGAGGTGAAGGGCACTAGCAACTGTGTTGGGCTCAATTTTAAATCCTGATTCTGGACTTGATTGGTTTTCTTTGCAAATTCCTTCCTGGGAGAAGCAAATAAGTTTGATTCCTTTTGAAAAATCTCATAAAATGTATTATTTTCTCTTAAAGAAAGCACTAGATTGAATGGTCTTTGAAGTTGTGGGGCAAATGGTTAAAACATTGTTTGTTACTGCAAGGAGATCCATTTTGAGGCTGGTGGCAGTGTTGGAATACCTGGAAAACCACCTATAAGAGGACCACACAACCCTGGGCAGAAGACCATTTCTAATGAGTGGGTTTTCTGACGAATATTTGGATTAACTTTTATAGCTAAATTTTAGAATTAATATATGCTACACAATGAAATCTAATTAGCATATATAGTGTAATGTGGTGTTGGTTGATTAACTCAGGTTCGATGACTTCAAAAAAAGCTTAGTCACACAAATATGATAATTTTAGTTTTCAATTGGTGCTAATCTTTAAACTTTCAGTTTTGAGGCCGACACTTCAATAGAAATAGGAAAATTGAAAACATTTGTTATTTATTATCATTTGTTTTGTTTCATTGAATTTGGTATAGGGGATTTAACCGGTTCTGAATTTTTGAATCCAAGATTTACTACCGGTAGCTCAAGTATTCAAATTATGCTTCATTCCTGAGAAATGTATTCAGAATTAACTACCTACTATCTTTTGTGGAGTGGTTACAGTTTCAAATTGTTTTACTGTTTGGACATCAAATTTGACTGCTCAAGCACATTTTTAGTAAGTGGTATTCCTGAGGGTAGTGTTTCCAAGGGCAGGAATCCAGTGGCTTTGCAATAGGAGAAGACGGATATCTTGACATTAGTAAAGATGTCAGCTCATCTAGACTAGCTGTTTTACAGTTCCAGTTTCTATGGAGGAGAATCCTGTGTTTAGCTGAACAATTAGAGGTGGAAACATCTTTGACTGCACTGGTATAGGATGGCTGGAACCGTCCACTGAACCCTTTTTCTCTTTTATGGACATATTTTAAGATAGTTGATGCTTAATAAATTAATTTGATATCAGTTATTTAGTGAAAAGTCATTTAATTTTGTTACTCTAGAAGATTGTTGAGGTTTTTTTTCTTATATAGTTTCAGTAGTCTAAGTTTAATATCATTAGCAGAATGTGTATCTGTGGTTTATCTACCAGAAGTCCTGTCCTTGTCCTTGTCCTTGTCCTTTCCCTTTCCTTTTCCTTTTCCTTTTCCTTTTCTCCTTTCCTTTCCTTCCCTCTTCTCTCCTTTCCTTTCCTTTCCTTCTGTTATGCTGGGGATCAAACACAGGGCCTGGCATGTGCTAAGCAGGTTCTCTACAGCTGAGCAACATCCCAGCTCCATCTTTAAGAAAATCCTATATGTAGAAAGCAGTCTAGGTCTGGGGATTTAGCTCAGTGGCAAAAGTGCCTGCCTGGCAAGCGCAAGGTCATGAGTTCGGTTCCTGGTACCGGAGGGGGAAAAAAAAAAAAAAGAAAGCAATCTAATCATTTTGTATTAAAACAGATGTCACAAGCTCATCTGAGTACAGCACCTCTGGACCACTCAATTCTCCAGGTAATCCTATTTATGAACTTTGGGTGTTAGAGATCTATATACACACAACACGTGCAATTTTACAATGTTCTGTTGATTATTGAATTAGTAGGACTTGATATTATTGTGTATCTAATTTTGAGCTTCTGGGTACTTCTTCCCTTTGAGTATAAAGTTGAGGTGACCAATAAGGTATTTGAAACAATTCCATGAATAAGAGAAAATAAATTATATTCTAAGGAAATTTTAATAAAGCATAGTAAACTTCTCCTTTATCATCTCAAGTATATTATTTCAGAAATGCTCTTATAAGTAGGAGTACATTCTGTTTCCACACAATCTTAGTAAAGATACCCTGTAGTAAAGCGAAGTGGCTTAAAGATAGACAATAAACAACAACATGAGCTATACTTACAAGTTCTGCTCAAATGCATACTTTGTTATTGTCCTTTTGGCTTTGTCCTAAGATTTCATACAAATTAGTTGAATTAAAGACTCATTAACAATAAATAAGAATGACAAGTTTAACATTTCAAGGTGTACACATTTTCCTCTGACCTGAGAGAGTTGAATTGTCCTCATAGATACATAATTGAATTATTATTATAAGAGACTCATTGGATAAAAATATACTTGGGCTCATTTATGTCAAGGCTTCTGTTAAAAATGGGCTTATAATGTTTTATTTTTGAAGTTAAAAACATAGGTCTGTAACAGAAGCAGCATATGTTAGTAATTATACATGATCCTAGGTGAATAAACTTAACACGTTTTGAACACACTATGGTTGATCACCTCCATAAAATATTTGAACTGTAGAGATAATCATGTGAGTGACTTTGGCAAATCCCAGATCTCAAGGTCAAATTATATATTTAGGATAAAGATATTCACTGACGGCCTTCAACACCAACTTTTAAATTCCTATGTAGAAGACAATGCACTGTACATTTTGAGTTAATGTATGTCTTAAAATTTAAATAATCTATGTATTTTGTTGAATAGAAAAAGGATCCCATATTCCAGAAGCCACTCCAAAATACTCAGAAACAAATGAGATTATTGGTAAGTAAACATAGCATTAATCTCTATTCATAGTTTTATGCCCCAACCAAAACCTGAGGCCACAAAGTAACCAAAATGTGAAGCTACTTTAAAAAAAGTTGTTCACCCCTTAGCTGTTTGATCATTGCATGTTTGTATGGTGTCGCATTTGTACTATTTTTCCTAATGAACACAGTAATATAAATAATACAAATATGCATACATTTATATGTATACACAAACATAACTAATATCTTACTTTCACTCGCATAAATCTTACCTCATGTAAGTAGTACCTCATTTATATGACATTTGAAAGACAATCTCTATAAAATACAAAGCAAGCAAACCACTGCTTCCTCCCTT